AGCAGCATGTCATGCCTGCCCCCAATCCGGCACCTGGGAGCTCTGAAACGGAGGACTCCATGCCTTTAACATCATCAGAGGCACGGGAGTCCTTGCCAAACCTAAGTGCCGGAGAGGATGAATACCAAACCCCAGGACAGCTTGCACCTGAAGCCGATCAGGCAGTGCCTGGCCCCAGCAGTACGCCACCCAATTCTCCGCCACCTGTCGACCGGCTGAGGAATCAGAGATGCCGGGACTTGGCAACCAGATGCAAGGAGGCACACTTGCACGGTCAGAGAACAATGAGCCCGGAGTTCTAACAGAATCAAGGACTTTGCAAGGCAGTGCTAATGAGTTAACGACCCAGCACGCTATTTGAACAGGTCACTGACTGCTGGCAAATCATGCTGGCAAACTTGTCCTTCGGACCAGAATCTCTGCACCTCTGACGCTGTTCCTGAGATCCCGTACTGACTGACTTCCCGGTTCCTGAATCCAGTCCACATTTTGACGACTCTCTGGCTCTTGATCCTCGGCTCTGCACCCTGACATTCGACACTCGCTTCTCTGGACTCTGACCCTTGGTAATGCTCTGACTACGGCTTGGCTTTGTGTATTGGGACGCTGGCTCTGCTTGTTTTTGATCTTTCTGGCTTTGACTCACGGACTGAACTGTAAACTCTCCCTCTCTGCCTGGCCCCCTGGCTCTGTCGTGACACAGCAGCAGCAGAACTGGAAGCAGGAGATGGCCAGTTCCACTGTGAGCCTGATGGAATCCCTCTGGGGGCCTGAACCGGCCCCCGGGTCGTATGTTTGACACCCCTGGTTTAGTGAATAGAGATATCACAAACCTTTTGGTTGCTGGTAGAATTTTATTTCCTTCTTCCATTTGAGCTTCAGTTTACACTAATCCCTTAAAGTCTGCTCCATGGTTGTTCCCTAAAGCCGGCAGCATTTTGACTCTCTTATTTTCTTCCCCCTCCCCTAGACATCCTGTTTCCATGTAATGCAATGGTAGTCACATGCCTCCTTTCTCAGAGATACACTTTAAAAAAAACCTCCTTGTTTTCAAATGAAGGTTACAGATATCAGCAGGGGACCAAATTTTCTGCTGCATTTAGCAACTGTAGTGCCCAGTTCAGCATTGTGTTTCAGGATACTTGCAACAGTGCTGAGAATACTGGTGTGTCCATTTCTGGTATTACCTTGATGGTGTTGGGGCCACAAGATACACACAAACTTTCCAAGTAGTTCTGTAAGTTAAGAAGCTTGAAATTGCCTGAAAAGAGTTGGTGATGCAACTGTTTCCTATGCTGGCTTCTGGAATGTACAAAGCCATATTTTTTGTGCACAGCCGGGGGAATTCCCTGAGCAGGTGGAGATTTCTACTCTGTCTCCAGGTATCTTTGTTTTGTGGTTTTTGTGGGTGATGGATATGGGGCAGGTCAGTTTGCTGTTAGATATCATGATAAAGGTGATCTCCCAGTCCTCACAATGCCTTAAGTGTTATAGACACTTGATAGGCTATGTTGATTTCCAGATGTGAAGCCAACACCTTGTCAAAGTCTTGGCTTTTACCATGTGTTGTGAAAGACCTTTTCCTCACGGCTACTGCATAATGAAATGGGTGTGAGATTAGGCCCATGTTTACTGCCAGGGTGCAACTTCTGTTCCAGTCTATCTCATTGCAACACCCCTTAAATCGGGCCTTAGTACAGACAGAGTCTCTGGATTATAACCAGGCCACCCTGTTAAGTCAGGGCTTCCAGCAGTTGCAGCCTCTCTCGCCCATTTTCTCTGCAGTTTTGTTATCCTTCTTCCTTTCTCAGATGTTCTAAGCAGCAAGACAAGAAATGTAGTACCTTGACATAGTCAACATGACTCGGTAGGAATAGGCGTGTGAAGCCATAGTGGCCTCCACCTGTGATTCAGACATAGCTTTAAAAGTACAGAGGGAATTTCTGGACGGCAACCTGGCAACCCTTGCATGTGTTATTACTCAAAACATACCATATGCACATTTTAGATACTGTGCTATAATTCTCACATGTGATTCCCCCCTCCCAGAGGTAGTGATGTAGGATGCTACATACATACCAACTGCAGTGGCTGTTCAGCATAATAAAATGCACTGAGCTGGCCTTGGCTGGGAGGGTGGGGTAGACATTAAATTAATAATGATAATGATGATAATGATAATAATAGTTGTTATTATTGTTATTATTATTATTGTTGTTGTTGTTACATGGAGAGACTACTCTCTAGAAAGACAAGTGCAGAGTCTCATGATTGCCACTACCTGATGACCTTTGAAGCCCTTTTCTTAATTTCAGATGGGTGGCTATAGCTATTCTAAAGATGTTATCAGACTCTCTGTGCATACTCATAGGCAGTGATCTTTATTAGTATTTTATATACTCCAGGGCTGAGCTTAAGGGTATATGGCTCAAATAAAAAATAACCAAATTTTGGAACAATAAATGTGCATCCATTTGGGGGGGGGGGATTTGTGAAGTGTCTGTACCTCTTTCATTAAGTCTGAACTTTTGTCATTGGTATATTTTATGTATCATGTAAATAGTGAAATACTAGCCAAATTGCTGTTTTGGACTCAAGAGATCAAATAGACAGTAACTATACTTTAAACTGTCTCAAAGATGAAGCTGTAAAGAGATGTGTTAATGAGGCTACAGAAGCAATGTCTGTACTAAGACTCAGACATGGAACTGAGCATGTTGTATGTTATAACTGCCAGAGAAAAGGGCACATTGCAAAGTTTTGTAGAAAAAACATTGAACAACAAAGAGAGAGGCGCACATGTTCCTGCATTCAGTGCTGCTTCAGGCAAGGGGTGAGGCAAGAATAAACTAGAGAGAAAGCCTTTCTGGCAATTTACATACATAGTTTCTGACAAAGGCTAAAATATGAAGAACTTTTGGCTGTTAGATTCTGGATCTTTTTCTCATGTTTGCTATGATACAGGTTGCTTTGTGAAGTTAAATGAGGGCAAAATCTGATTCAAACAGAAGTTCTTTGTCTGTTGATGAGTTGAGATAGTTAGACTCAGATTGTTAAATTCTGATGAAGAGATTGTTGAAATTCTATGTTTTTGCTCCCAAAGCTAATCAGAATTTTTTATCTGTTGAGAGGATTGTGAAACAGGGAAATCAATTTCTGATCAAAGTATGTGTGTGTAGTATTTTTCATTTTGAATTCAATGTTGAAATACTGGGAGAAAGGATTGAAGGCTTTTACTACTAGAAAAATGTTGCTGAACCAGTGTATCATACAAAACAAAAGAAATGTTCTCATTATAATTGCATATTTGCATGGCACAAAAGACTGGGATATAGAAATCTTAAGTTTGTGCAAATTTGATGCAGGAGTGCAAAGCTGAAATGGCTGAATGGGATCAAATGCAAGTTTACTGTGAAATCTTCTTAAAAGCCAAGGTAGCTGCTCCTAGCTACAGGAAGCCACAGAGTGTGCACAATGAGAGACTATTGCAGAAAGTCTGCTCAGACTTAGTTGGTCCCTTTTGTCCTTTAATTGGAGGAAATAAATACATTTTGACTTTTATGGATGCTGGAACTCATTTTGCTTATGTATATCTGATCAGATCTAAAGTTAGGTGCTAGAGGAATTCAAGAACTATCTTGCTGCAGTGAAAAATAAGTTTAACAAAGCTCCGGAGGTCATGTTTACAGACAGTAGGACTGAGTATTGTGGCAGCAAGTTTCAAATGTTTCTAGAGGAGGGAATAGTGCTTTGTACAAATGTATCCTATTCTCCTCAACAAAATGGCTTTGCTGAATACCTTAACAGAAGCCTGCAGGAGATGGCATGTTGCCTATTCTTACAAGCTGGTCTGTCTGACCCCTGCTGAGAAGAAGCAGTAAATACAGCAGTTTCCCTGCACAATAGAATTCCCTCTAAGGTCACAGGGAAAACGCCATTTGAATTGTGGTTTGGAAGAAAGCCAGGCCTAAAGTATATACCCATATACCCAAGGAAAGACGGGGAAAGTTGGATCCCAGAGATGAAGTGGGAATCCTTATGGGATATGCTCAAGGTGGAAAAGGATACCGAGTTATGAATCCTAAAGCATTTTTGTTAAAGTGTGCACTGTGGTGCATACTGATTTATTTAATTTTTTATTCAATTTATACCCTGTCCTCCCCACCGAGGCAGGCTCATGAAAGCAATGTACTCCAAATTTCTAAGCAAATAGAGCCCACAGCCAGGAACATAAGAACATAAGAGAAGCCAATGTTGGATCAGGCCAATGGCCCATCCAATCCAACATTCTGTCACACAGTGTCCAAAAATACCTGTTGCCATCAGGAGGTCCATCAGTGGGGCCAGGACACTAGAAGCCCTCCCACTGTTGCCCCCCAAGCTGGTGAAGAAGTCTCTTTTAGAGATATGGTCAGATAGCTACCTGCTGTGACTGCCAATCAGCAGGCAGGTCAACAAGAAACACCACAATCAGAAGACGAAGCAGGACAAGTGGGGCCACAGAAGACAGAGACTAATATGAGACAGTCACAAAGAAGCTATAAAGGAGTACCACCACAAAGGTTTACCTTTTATGCAAATGTGCAGCCTATGAGTGAACTCTCAAGCTGGAAAGAGATTATTGAACTGCCTACACATGAAAGAGGCAGATAGGTAGAGGCAGCCTATGAAGAGTTAGGGTCCTTGCAAAGGAATCAAACATGGACACATACTGAATTACCCCCAGGAAGAAAAGCTATTGATTGCAAATGGGTATTCAATGTGAAGCACGATGCTGATGGGAGTGTGGAGAAATACAAAGCATGTTGGGTGGTGAAAGGATTTACACAAAGACCTGGGACTGACTTTTCTAAAACTTTTGCACCGGTTGGCAAGTATGCCTCCATCAGGACACTTCTAAGCATTGTAGCATCAAGAAGAATGCATGTTGAACACCTGGACATTAAAACAGCATTCCTCAATGGAAGATTTGTCTGAAGAGATTTACATGGAACAACCAGATGGTTTTCAAGAAAAAGGAAAGGGAATCTTGTATGCAAATTAAAAAGAACATTTATGGACTTAAGCAAACTGCCAGAGCTTGGAATGAGAAATTAACTATGCTACAAAGTCAAAACTTTCAACAAGGAAAGGCAGAGCCCTGCCTATTTACAAGACTGAAAGATGGACATTATCAAAATGTGCTGACATATGTGGATGATCTGATATCGTGTTGTCAAAGCAAAGAGGATGCTCAAGAAATTGCTGATAACCTGAACAAAGAGGTAGAAGTGAAACAGCTGGGAGATGTCAATCACTACCCTGGAATACAAACTGAGAGGATTGAGAATGGAAGTTTCCTCTGGAACCAAAGACACAAAATTATGGACCTTGCTGAGTCTCTAGGTATGAAAGATGCTAAAAAAGTGAGTACTCCACTTGAACCAGCTTATCTCAACCTTAAAGATGGACGAGAGCAATCAGCAATACAGAGAGACAATTGGCAAACTTCTCTGAGTACAGTGTCTAGACCTGATATTTTTGTATCTGTTGGGATTTTATGCAGAAAGACTGATTCACCAAGCCACTATGACTGGAATAGTGTAAAGAGTCTGGATAGATACATCATAAAAACAGCTGACCTGGAACTAAAGATCTCAGCTTGTGACAACCTAAGGCTGGTTGAATACATGAACTCAGACTGGGGTGAAAACAAAACTGACTACAAATCAATCAGTGGCCACCTGTTCTTCTGTGGAGAGAGCCTGATCAGCTGGACTAGCCAAAAATAAACACTATTTGCCAAGTCAACAACTGAAACTGAGTACATATCTGCTTCAAGGGCATGCAGTGAATTTGAATGGATCATCTATCTACAGAAAGACTTTGGTGTGGATGAACCTAAACCAATAACCTTGTATGAAGACAAGCAGTTGTACATAGCCCTATCTAAGAGTGAAAGCATCAAAGCCAGAAGTAAGCATGTTGTTGTCAAATATCATTCTGAGAGAGAGATGCAGGAAAAAAAACCTGACTAAACTCAAGTATTGTCCTTCAGAGGAGATGGTTGCTGACATACTCACCAAGCCACTCACTAGAGGAAAGTTTGAGTACCTGTGCAAGAAACCGAACCTTCATGACTTCAGTATAGGATACTTCAGAAGGGGTGTTGGGGTTTTTTTTGCAAATGTCACCCTTCAGTCATGAAAGAGTTAAACTGTTTTTTGTGCATGTTAATATTAGTTAGTTACCAATGAGATCTCATGTATAATCTTCCTGCCAGAGAAGGGGATGTATTATTCCTAATGAGACAAGCTTTAGATTGACTATTTGGCTAATAGATATATTGTGTGATAATACATGCTGTTTTGCATGTACACATGGGGCGGAGCTTTGGGGGAACTTCCTTTCCTTTGTTCCACACACATGAGTTTGAGCAAACAAACAAGCAAGATGTAAAACTAGATAGTTAGGATGTTGTTGTTTTTCCTCCATGTGACCCTTCCCTAATTTTATGTAGTACACTTTTTTCCCTTATAAGCTAAACACACATGTGTCTGAGCCTTCTTTATTTCTGCTGCTCTACATCACTCTGTTAAATGTATCCAACACATGTCCCTCATGGCAGCCATTTTATGGTGGCACTGTTCTTAACATTCTTAATGTGCCCACAGGCCCATTGAAGTTGTGACTCCACATATGCTCCTTGAATTCCATCATGGTAGGAAGATTAGAAATAAATATAATAATGGCAGAATGCAAGATTTCAAACCTACTGAATTTTAAACTGTTTAGCTAGCATAACCAAGCCAATTAGATTATTATGGGATAAACTGGGCCATAAAATGTATCCATCATCAAATGTTTCAAATACAATTTCTGTAAGCTGTTGTGAAACTGGGAATTTCTTCCTCTGCTATATCATTCAGCAAGTCACCTGAAGCTGATTAAAGAGCTGATCTTCATGAGTCAAGGGCAAGGCAGAGCAAGCGGTCTGGAATTCTAATAAGCCAACATTGTCTTTGTCTACAAGCAAATGGGAATCTGTTGCCCTCGTGCCAGCTTCTCAGACTGTCTGCTCCATTGGATAGCTGAGCTACACTATGATTTAAATGAATCAATTGAAGGTAATGAATTAAAGCAAGTCTGTGTATTTTAGAATGCCTGGTTTGTGTACTGAGCTGTAAGTTGTTTCACAACTGTACCTTAAAAGAATAAGTGTTGGTTTTTATAACCCTGATTCTCTACCCTGAGGAGTCTCAAAGGGCCTTGCAGTCCCTTTCTTTTTCTCTCCCCACAACAGGCATATTGTGAGGTAGGTGGGGCTAAGAGAGTCCCGAGAGTACTGTGGCTGGCCCAAAATCATCCAGCAGGCTTCAAATGGAGGAGGAGGGAATCAATGGAGAGGCCGCTGCCCTTAACCACTACACCAAGCAGTAATGGGAAGTCAGAGGGACACGTTCTTTTAATTTTATTAACATTGTTACCTCACCATTTCTCCAAGTAACTGAACTAAAAAATGACCAGAAATGACTTGCACATCTAAGTTTGTCGCTTCTAAAGCTCAACACAAATGCTGCCACTCTTGCTTTCAAAAAAACTTGCATTCACTCATTCCATTGTGAATGTTTGTTCCCGTGCAATGACAGTACAGTACCCAGGGATGTGTCAGTGCAGCCTAAATCTTGCAGAAGTCAATTCTCTGAATTTTAAAAAATACCTTTACTATGGGAAGCGAAAGTGGCAGGTTTGTTCTAGAAAAATAGTGAATGGGATTGTTCATACAATTTTAAAATGGAATGTTCAAAGCTGCTACCATTTGGCATACGAGTTTCCTATAGGCTGTAGCTCGTAAAAGAGTCTGCTTGTACAACACAACCAATATAAATTGCCTGGTATGAGATGGAGAGAAAGTAGTCATTTGTTTAACATTGTACAGGGAAGCTATAAAACAACAACAAACAAGGACATGCATGTTTATAACACATTGTACTGCAGAATGAAAGCATTCGCCTGACAGTGAGGCCAGGATTGGGTGTGAAAGGCAGGATATATTCTGAGAGATACATTCATCCCCCTGAATTGCCTCTGGCACTGTAAATTTCAGCTGCTCTTTCTCTCTTTCCTGTACAGTAACAGAGAGTAAGTTTTCTTTCGTACGTGGGAATGAGGAAGAGGAGAGGGGGAAGGTTTGAGGTTGCCATCAGATTACATGGCTAGGGAGGACGGCTCCATCAGCTGGAGGGAGAAGCAAAGGAAGACAGAGAAAACTACTGAAGGGCAGGGCTCTTTTTGTAGAAAAAGCCCAGCAGGAACTCATTAGCATAATAGGCCACACCCAACAGCAGAAACTCATTAGCATATTGGGCCACACTCCTGACAGCACAGCTCATTAGCACATTAGACCGCATCCACATGTTAGCAGAAGTGTGGTCATCCAGCCACACCCACCTTTTGCTTGTTATTCTCTTTTACCGTGTTTGTTGTCAAAACCCAGGGCTTTTTTGTAGCAGGAACTCCTTTGCATGTTAGGCCACACACCCCTAATGTAGCCAATCCTAATGAGTTTCTGTTGTTGGGCGTGGCCAACTCAGGAGCCAGCCGGAACTCCGTTCCTGTGCGTTCCTGCCCAAAAATAGCCCTGCTGAAGGGGAAGAGGACAATTTCACTAAAAGCCTACCAAGGACATGGGTGTTCTTCCCACCCTCAAATCTCTATTTTTGTCGAATTGGACTTCCTATTATCTAATAGAGTCTGGTATACTGCGCTTTGGTGTACGTGATTTACAGTAGAGAGGATATTTCTCAACTGCTTGGGAAGTGTCTCGATCTCTATTTTTGTCGAATTGGACTTCCTCTTATCTAATAGAGTCTGGTATACTGCGCGATTTACAGTAGAGAGGATATTTCTCAACTGCTTGGGAAGTGTCTCGGGAGGAGACACTTTCAAACAGTAAAGATGACTAAAGACATAAGAAATAGAACAGTAGTAGAAGAAAGAGAGATGTCATTTGAGTGATACTGATTGCCTTGCAGCAGTCATGGGCTTTTGATCCAGACTCTTTCCTTGGGTGCAAGGACTTCAGTCAGTGACGTGTGACTTTCCTCCTTCTCTAGGCATTCTGGGCTGCTGCAGGAGCACAGAGGCAGGGAAATGGCACCACGTGGGTGGAAGTCTTTATGCCTGTGGAAACATTGGTCTGGACCCAGCCTATGGTTTTTCCACAGAGAGGACTGTATCCCTGTGGCAGATAGAGTTGCCAGCCTCCAGGTGGTGCCTGGAGATCTCCCACTATTGCAGAGATCAGTTCACCCGGAGAAAATGGCCACTTTGGAAGGTGGACGCTATGGCAGTATACCCCATTGAAGCCTCTCCCTTCCCTAAACCCCACCCTCCTGAGGGCCCCCCCCCCAAAAAATCTCCAGGTATTTCCAAACCTGGTGCTGGCGACCCTAGTGGCAGAGCACATGGATTGCCTGCAGACACTGCAGGTCCAGTCACTGGAATCTTACCTGATATCAGTCGCAGGGACCAGGTGTTACTTTTTTCTGCCTAAAATTATGGAGAGCCCTTACTGCTCAGGGGAGACATCTGCTGCTTCAGCTTGCGGCCTGCTCATAGATTTCCATCACCCTAGTTGACCACTGGATAAACTGGTTATCAGAACATCTTAAAAGTTCAGATACATATTGCCTCCCCCTCCCGGCAACTGCATCTTCCACTGCAAGACATAAAAGGCACATTGTTAAGATCACAAAGAAAACCACACTTTGAGATGCATCTTCCCTATTAGTTGCTGCCATGGTTTGGAATGTGTGGGGGCCCATTCTCCCTCTTCCCTGCTTTCCCTCCCATCCCCTGTCTCATCAGCTATGCTCTGTTATCTGTTTGGTGTCCTTGAAGGCTTGGCTCTGCTTTTTTGGCTGGGAATGTAATGGCTGTAGTTTGCCCGCATTTACAGGTGCTTGCTTATTGGGTTCACTGTATCAGGGGGTCTGGTTTAAAGGGGGTATAATTGTAGAAGCTGTTCTTTCTCCTGCTATTCCTATACAAGAGTTCATGGTATCTCAAGTACTAACTCTCAATAAACTGAAACTTCTGAAGCAATCTCATTCAGGGTTCATTAATGGCAGTTCAGCTGTCCAGACCTTAAATTTATACATGCATGTTCTCACACTGCCTCCTAGGGCCACCAGCCTCCAGCTGGCACCTGGAGATCTCTTGCTATTGCAAATGATTGCCAGGCAACTATGATCAGTTCTCCTGAAGGAAATGGTTGCTTTAGAGGATGGATCCTATGGCATTATATCCTGCTGAGGTCCCTCCCCTTCCCCAACCCCACCCTCCCCAAGCTCCACCCCCAAATCTCCAGGTATTTCCCAACCCTGAGCTGGCAACCCTACGGCCTGCTGCATTGAACTGTACTTTCTCTTCCGGATGGTTGAAACAGAGCCAACGGAGACTCAATCCTGCTAAGACAGGGGTTCTGTGGCCGGGTGGGGGAGATTCAGAATTGGGGTGCCAACTTCTGGCTTTTGACAATGTGCCTCTAATACCAGCACCAGGGCCTGGGTGTGGTTCTGGATGTCTCCCTATCAATGGAGCCCCAGATCATAAATGTTGCTAGACAGGCATTTTCCCAGCTACTCCAGGTCAGGCAACTAGCCCCCTTCCTGTCTCACCCTGACCTAGCCACAGTAATCCATGCAATGGTCACCTCCAGACTAGACTACTGTAACTCACTCTATGCAGTGCTATCTTTGAGACTGACCTGGAAACTACAACTGATCCA